TGATTGGAATAGCATTGAATCTGTATATTGCTTTTGGTAGGATGGCCATTTTAATAATGTTTATTCTTCCAATCCATGAGCAGGGGATGTCTTTCCATTTCTTTGTGTCTTCTTCTATTTCTTTTAACAGTGTTTCATAGTTTTCTTTGTATAGGTCCTTTACCTCTTTTTTTAGATTTATTCCCAAATATTTGATTTTTTTTTGCAAACAAACATTTTTTTGAAGAAAGAAATCAGTTCTGCCTATCAATTAAATATTAGATTAGTAAATTTTGCCTTTCTATAGTGAATGAGTATATTAGTTAAAATTAATGACCTTGATCAATATGCAGAAGCAAGGACACATTTTAAGGATGCAATTTTGGTTATAAATAGCTACTGGTCAAAGAATGCATATAGTATGATATGATTTATGTAATATTTTAAGCAAAATGGGGTCCAGACAGGGAAGCACAGACTTTTTCTGCAAATTTAGTGAAAATTTTGACCCTTTGGAGTGTCTGTTGCAGCTGCTATACTCTGTCACTATACCATGAAAGCAGCCATAGACAGAACATAAATGAACAAGCATGGCTCTATTCCAATAAAAGTATTTACAAAACAGGTAGGAGATTGGATTTAGCCCCTGGACCTTAGTTTGCTGAACTCTGATACACAAAATTCTCTTTAGAATTCCAAATGAAAATAGATATGGTTTTGATTCTATTTTTCAAAACAGAGTTTGCTCCTGAGAAAAGAAAGAAGAATAACATCAGGGAGAAACACGATGTAGAATTCATCTCGCATTGCTGCATTGAACTGGTGTGTGTGGTGTGTGTGTGTGTGTGTGTATTTATAGAAGTAAAACAAATATGGAAAAATGTTAACGTTTGTTAAATTTGGATCTGTGATTACTACACCACTATCTGTGTTTTGCGTAATGGAGAATGGGCAAAGGAGGGAGAGAGGGGGTTAGGAGAGCATAATGGACTATGTCGGAGGACTTTGGGAAGCAGAAACATCTACAGTAATGATATTCCCTCCAGAAGTCTGTCTTTGTATATCCCTTGCAGTTGTATATTAGTCCAAAAAATTAAGAACTGTAACTTTCCAATGGGAGAAATTTCCCTCTGTTTTCAGAAGTAGGAAAAGAACTGTTGCATGATGGGGATTTGAACCTGGATCAAATGTGAATCATGTCATGGTTGGATCTTTCTTTTTACATTGGTTAAAGCAAGTCTGAGTTGCATTTCTGACCTACCTCTATCAAAGTTGCAAGACTTTAGACTTGCTAAGTCTGTGACTAACTTTACCCCTCTCGCTATCTCATCATTTTTTCCTCTACCATCAAACATTGTAGCATAGAAACAAGGTGTTTACTTCATCAGTTTCATAGTTTATTTCAGCACCATTATTTAGTGATAAGGCAGACAGACTCTATAAGCACATTTCCCATGTTCAAATCTCAGGTGTGCCTATAACTAGCTTTGTAAACTTATTATGCTTCAAGCCTCAGTTTTCTCATTTACAAAATATAGTGATAATAATAGACTATACCTCATAAGGTGGCTGTGAGTAGTAAATGAGTTAATTACTTGCAAAATGCTTAGAATGGTGCCTAATTAATAGTAAGTGCTAAATCAGTGTTTTGTACAAAATGCAATTAAGTGCATTTATTTATTTTAGTGAATTATATGTACCAGCCACCCTAAAATTTTCTAGAGCAAAATTTCAGAAAGCACAATCTCTCAGAATAACCAAGAAGCCAGGGATTGAATTCCACACAGTAGTTTTTATTAGCTCTAAGGACATAAGTAACTATTCTAAGTGCTTTGAAACTTTAAATTCTCATCTGTAAAATGAGGCTAATAATAGTACCTACCTGCTAAGAACTGTTGTGGGGATAAGTTATTGGATACAAAGAACTTAGCTCAGCTCATAGTAAACACTCTAATGCCTATGCAAGTAATTGATAATCATGAAACAATTGTTAGTAGTATAAAGCAGACACAAAAGCCCTGTGCTAAAAATGATGGTACTTAAATCATCTTAGAAATAGAAATACATTGACTTTGTGACCCGGTAGCAAAACTTGGTATCTCTAATGGTGTCAACACTTGACTTCTCATTAACTGCACAGAAATTTGTTGGGGAAGGGAATTACAGAAATAATCTCCAGATCTGAGATATAAGCATGCACATTTAAACTCTAGGTGAAACTCCAGGAAAGTTGACCTTTAGGTCCTCTTTCTCTAGCTTGAGTTCCTGTTCTTCCCTTTATGAGAAAAGATTGATTATAAAGCAGAAAATATCACTTAAGAAGCTTACAGTTTAAACAGCAGGGGTTAAAATAAGTTCAGTGGCAATCACTAGCACCTTGTCTCTGAAGGTAGAAAAATAAATCCTCCATATTAAATAAGAAGTTACCCTTCCAATGCCAAACTCACTGGGCCCAGCACTAGATTTATGAGAACATTGCCAGGTAGGATGGACCCTGTAGCAAAGCATGTCATAATCTCATGATGAGCCCAGGATGCTGTAAGCTGTTAGCCATGTTGTCTTCTGTTAGCCATGTTGTTCTTTTGACAACTGTAAGAGCTGTTGGCTATTCTAAGACAAATAAACAAAATAATTTCATTATTTGCTTGGGAAGTAAGTACACCAAGATTAGAATATCCCCGCCTAAACCAGGTGCTAGAACAATCCTCTTCTTAAAGTGTTGTTGCTGGCTTAACAGTATCCATAAAAATATGAAGATGTCTTGAAATCTTCATGATTGCAAGATTTCTTGAAAACAATGCAGCTTCTGAGTCACAAGATGTGGTGTGAAGTTTAGAGTCCTGCACTTCTAACAAGCTTCGGTTAGTGCTATAAAATCCTCTCTACAGCCTTGCTGCTCATATATGGTACAACATAGACCTCACCTGAAAGCTAGTTGGAAATGCAGATTCTTTATCCTTTCTACAGACCTCCTAAATTAGTATCTGGACTCAGCAAGACCCCTTAGCGATGTGTATGCACATGAAAATTTGAAAAAGATGGCCTAGAAAATATATGAACCAATTCTCCCAAGCACCCATGGTACACCCCTCTGTGTTATATAGCTACCCATTGCCCAGAATTCCTGAAATATGTAATCAGGCTGCAGAGGTTCTAGAAGTTCTCAGCCCACATTCTCTCCAATCTCTTCACCATTTTCATACACAACATCTCAGTGGACTTTCACTTCCAAAAGCCAGAAATTCTCTCTTTGTTGGCCGCTCTGTCTGGTTGCTGGGACCGACCTAACTTACTATTAAGGAGAACAGGAAGTGCCTGGGGATTGCCATCCACTCCAGCAGCCTTTAACCAACAGACACAAGGATTGCCGCACTTCAGTTCCCTTGTCCCTCACTGAAAACTCAGCTTTGAGGATGGTCTATGCAGGAACTAAGCCAAAGTTACCAGCTGTGGGGTTCACTTCTGCCTCTTCCCTTCTTGTCCTGCTCACTCTTTATAATGTTGCCAGAGCATACTTTGTAATAAATCTATTATTCATAAATCCTTATCACAGGGGTTTCTTTTGGGGAAGCCAACATAAAACACAAGCTGTTTTAGCTCACTTTGACATAAACTGAGACCAGCCCCCACCAAGAATGGGGTTATTTATAAAGTCTCCTCAGTCACTGCTTTAGTCCCTGAATCTCCGATGCAGCCTGAGTCAGATATTTTGAGCCTCTCAGAAAGCTTCAAGAGGCCAGTAAGTATGGGGGATTTGGATGCTCACATTCTAAGCTTTTGATGAAAATAAATTAAGCTTCACTTTTAAAATGAGCTAACTGTGGCTGTGATGTAAAGGTGGTGATGACACAGTCCTTTAACTGCCTTTATAAAGGACCCATAGAAAGAGCCAAGGGTCTAAGGGACCCTTGAAAGGTTTGCCAGCTCAAATTGAGCTGAGTTATGAATGTAAAATCCATACCTCCCTTCAAAGACTTAATTTATTGAAAGAAGTTAAGATTGCTTAAAATTTTTATGTTGATTTTAGGATTAATAATATTTGTGAAATATTGCAAAATGTATGATTTTTGATTATAAATAAATATAAAATATTTATAATTAAAATTAGTTTTACCTGTTTCTTTTTAATTTTTAATGTGTTATTATAAGGAATTCAATTATATGTATCTCCCGTTATATTTCAATTGTAAGCTTCTAGTTGGTTTTTCCATTGCAAATATCCAGCAACAAAAGACCAGCAAACAACAGTAGAAATAACAAAAGTAGGTGTAGAAACTGTTGAAATAAGAAATATAATTTCATTGAGGAGGGGGCCAATTCAAATACAACATTGGATGATTAGATTACTGAGCATGCATATCATCTTCTCTTTAAGAATTGTTTTTTGGCTCAGAATGTTGATTACATATTTGAAATCCTCACCTAGAATGGAATTTCAATATTTTTGGTAAATTTGCTCTTTTCCATTTTCTTGTAAGTGAAGTTAGATCATTGGTAAGTGGTGTGAGGTAGGGATAAAGATAAGGAGAACAGAGACTGAGTTGGGGAAAGAGAGGGTATTGGTATGCTATCAAAGATTTAGACAACTGGATTTAGACAATTGCAACTAGGTCTAGAACTGTAACTAATACTTAAATATTCCATGTATTAACTTCTTTGATTTGAGTAATAAAGTGAGAAGATTGCATTTGTAGGTATATTGAAAATACATTTGACTATATTTTAAATTTTTCTATGTCTCCTGTTTATAATGCAAGAAAATAGTAAAAAAAAAAAAATCAGTTATTGAAAGCAACATGCCAGATACCTAACCAGTAGAGATTTTTATAAACAGAAATATAATGTTTATGTGTGAAGAATATTTTTGTAGGAAAGAAGTAGTCACTCAGGGATTTGAATTTAATTATGTCACTTTTACCAAGACAAGAAGGAATGGATCTTAAATAATTTGTCTTCCTGGTAGGTTAGCTAAAATCATATGTCTAATTTAAGTTAATGCAAGTGTGATTTACATTTTTCAGGAATGGACAAATGAGGTTTTCAGCCTGGCAACAAACCTGCTGGCCCAAAATATGTCCAGGGATGCATTTCTAGAAAAGGCGTAAGTAGCTCTAATTTTATTGCTAAGGGTGTTTCTTCTTCTGAGTCAGTTTCCTTTCTCCTTTGTGAGCCTTTTGTTTACACTGCACTGGCTTCTTACATTGATAAACATAAATTTCCCTTTGGAATTTGTTAGAGGACTGATATCTCTACTGTTTGGAATTGAAAGCCTTCCAAGAAAGATCACTCTTTTCTCCAAGCTCCACATGCTCATTATGTCTGGCCTGAGCTCCTCTGAATGTCAGTGCTCCTGAAACACAAGAAGGAGATACTTCGAAATCCTAGCAGCTATACACAGTAGCAAATGTTATTAATTTCAGAATCTACTTCTATATCTGTCTGTGTTGTATCGATTATTACTATAAGGAGAATGACCAATGTATGGTACTCATTTCTCAATGATCTCTATGAGATCTCTCATAGTTTCTACAGTGATTTCCTTGCCTACTTAAATTAATAACATTCTGATCCCTACTCTTATAAACAATCACAGCAAATATTAGTAAGAAAAGAGAAAAGATGTGGCGGAAAATAGTAGAATGAAAAGGAGAAAGAAAAAGCAAAATCGATTACCCAGCCATTCATCAGCCATTCTAAAAATTATTTAAACAAAACAATGATTTTTGCTAGATGAGCAGAAAGGAAAGCTGGTTGGATTCACTTTGAAAACCATGAATGCCCAAAAGGTTGGGAAGCCTTTAAATCAAATCTGTAAGTGGTAACATTACAAGGTGGCCCTCTAGTTAAATGAATAGTTTCTCTCATCCTTTTTTCTGTAAGACAGACCCAGATCCATAATTCCAAACCTAAGACATTTCCCACCTTACTTTTTACTCTTTATAAATTCATTTTACTAGTCAGTCAGTACCTCACTGTCAGTACCTCTTACCTTAAATTATCTTGTTTGAATCATTATCTGATATCTGTAGCTTGTCACTTTGAGGACCTTTCCTATATTACCTTCCTCTCTTCCTCTTCCTTTATTTCTCTTTGCTTTTTACCATCTTTGATCTTAGATCTTTCTATCCTTCACCTAACAGACATTTCCAGAAACATCTGTTTCAGAAGGCAAAGTTAGTAGAAGGAACACACAAATAAAGTTGTTTTACATGAAATATAGCACTCTATAGCTAGTAAGCATCTAGTTGGTTTTTTCTAATGCAAATATCCATTTCTACAGGTGTCTGACTATGAATAACTCTTTTGTACATTCTAAAACATACTTTTTGATGAACCCATTGCATTTACAGCTAGGTATGGGATTGCTAGATCATAGTGTGTGCAATTTCTAAAGGTGACAGTCCCAGCTTACACACTCATCAGTGGTGCTTACAAGTTTTATTGCTCCAGCTGTCTAGCCACATGTCCAGAAGCAGTTGAAGAGATAAATACAGTTGTTATATTTACACAAAGGAATACTGTTCTACCATGAGAGTGAATAATCTACATCTATAAACAAAAATATGGATGGTTCTAAAATACATAATATTGAGGGAAAAGAGCCAGACACAAAAGAATGTGGTTCATTTACATAAAGTGAAAAAAAAAAACGAGCCCCCCAAAACCTGTTGTTAAGTCAAGATAATGGTTCCTTTGGGGACGTAGACTGAAAGGAACTTCCCACATACTTCTGAAGTAACAATGTTCTATTTTTTGATCTGAGTGCCAACTGCAGTGACTTGGACAGCGAGTAAAAATTCCATAAACTGCACATATGCACAAGCCCTTTTATATGTGTTTTATTCTTCAATAAAAGCATTTTAAAAAATTAAACATTTGTTTTTCTGCTTCTCCAACAGCTATACTAAACTTAAACTGCAAGTTACTCCAGAAGGACGAATTCCTCTCAAAAAGTAAGCTGCGTGAGCACTTCCCATTATTCATTTTCTTTTTCTCAAAGATTTGAATCCTTGCCATGGCTCTGTTTTGTGCCTGTACTAAGTGGAGTAGGATCCTGAAAATACATGCTGACCCCTTCATCCTTCACACTCCATATTCATGTGAGTGCAGCTGGTTTCCTTGTAGAGATTCCCAGCCTCCCCCTTTCCTATGACATCATTTTCAAGGAACACCAAAGCAGAAAGGGGGGTCCTACCCTCTTAGCAACCTTGTTGCTAAACCAGAAAGACCATCTGAGCTTTTAAGATTACAAATTGGATGATTTTAGTGTTTTCGTTCTACCAAAATGATACTAACCTAAAACAGAGTTTGCAAACTCAAATGTCAACCGAATTCAAGAAGTTATGTCATGAAAAACTTCAGTTTTTGGAAGAAAAACTGAAGAGTAAAACTCCAACTAAAGAAGACAACAGCAATTCAACACCACCATATTCCTTGAGGGATTGGTGGTCTCCAGATTCTTTATCTTCTAATGTTACAGTAGAACTGATAAATACAAATCATTATATTGCATTGTCTGTTACTTAAGTTCTACATTTAAAACCAAATTGCTGACCAAAGAAAGCACAGCTCTAGACTGTACTCAGCTAAGTCTTTGACCTTTGACTTACTACCTACCAGTGGTGTTTGTTAATAAAATTGCTAAATTAATAATATTCAATATTGTTATTAACAACATACACCTTTAAAGCAATGGGTAGCAGAAAGGGGAAATAAATAACTTTTTATTAAGGATGTTTATTTTGGTGCTTAATCTTAGAGGCTATTCAGTGCAATGTTGTTTAATTGGATCATCAATAATGATTTTATATTAGACACTTGGACTTTAAAATTCACACCTAGATTTTGTAGTAGAAACTTGCCTGGGCATTTTTTAATTCTTATAAGACAAATGATAAAGAGGTTTGATTCAAGGGAATGTTTTTAGTTGGTGTCATCTACAAGTGCTGTGGTCCCTGAGCCTTGTAAACATCTCTCCACTGTTGTACTTTTCACTTCACAGCATATACCGCTTGTTTTCAGCCGACCGGAAGCGAGTTGAAACTGCTTTAGAGGCTTGTAGTCTTCCATCTTCAAGGGTAAGCATGGTGCCTTTCTGAAAGTAGCACTGCTAAGTAGTTCTGAATAACAGATTAAAGGCTTTCTTGTCCCAATATTGCCCAAACAAAGTTTTTCTTTCCAATTTTATTGAGAAAGAATCAGCATACATCACTGGATTTTTAAGACTTAAATCATAATGGTTTGATTTACATATACTGTGAAATGATGTCCACAATAGGTTTAGTTGGCCTCCATCTTCTCATATAGATTCAAAGAAGAAAATTTTTTTTGAAATTTTTAAGTACTTATTTGTTGATATTTACAATATTTAGGTCACTATAATTATACTTATTTTACCCCCCATAATAGCAGTATTTTAAACTAGAGAGACCCTTGTTCTGTATAAATTAAATGTGTGTGTGTGTGTGTGTGTGTGTGTGTGTGTAAAGTATAGGCTAAAAATAATGTTACCAAGAGTTTAAATTTCTCATTAGTAACTTCATTTCTTGATGTATCTTAAATATTGGCAAAAGGTTATGAATTACAATTAAGAAGATATTTGAAATATTAATTTTATCTCATCCTTTTAAGATTTCTATCTTAAAAAGAACTCATAAAATTCAACAATAAAAATAAGCAAACCTTTGATAATGAGCATAGGATTTGTATTCGCTTTTCTAAAGAAGACATACAGATGGCCAATAGGTGCATGAAAAAGCGTTCATTATTTCTTATTAGAGAAATGTGGGTCAAAACAACATTGAAATATTATCTGACACTTGTGAGAATGATTATCTGCAAGACAAGAAACAACAAATGTTGGAGATGATGTGGAGAGAAGGGAATCATTATACACTGTTGGTGGGAATATAAATTGGCATATCCACTATGGAAATCAGTGTGGAGATTCCTCAAAAAATTAAAAACAAAAATTCCATAAGATACAGTTTTCCCACTTCTAGATATTTACCACAAAAATACACTAACATTAATTCAAAAGATATATATGCCCCCATGTTGAATGCAGGATTAGTTCCAATAGCCAAGAACTAGAAGCCAACTAAGTGCCCTTTGACCAATGCATGGGTAAAGGTGTGGGCTATATGATTTCACTCATATGTGGCATACAGAGAAAACAAACAGATGAATTAAATAAAACAGCAAAAAATAACTTTGGACTATACAATTTTTTTAAAGAAATAGAGTATTTCCAGTTTAAGATTTATAAGTTAATTAACAATTATGGTAGTACATGTTTATAAATATATGTCCATACACTGGACGGCTTTGCCCAAGAAGTTTTACTGAGAGGAGTACAGGATCAAAACAGTTTAGAGCCTGCTTTGCACATATGGTAAGAGAAGAGAGGACAAACATGTAGCATGCTTTTTTAAAATACCTGACATAGTCGAGGCACTCAGAATGCATTAACCACATAAAATAAAGAAATTTGCCTTCTTTTCATTGCCTTTTTACTTATCTGGCTGGAAAATAATTGGGACCATCATTTCTAAGAAAACTGAGTCTATTTTATCCTAGTTTCTAAGCAACAAGTAAGCACTTTTCATGGATAACACTTATGCTACAGGAGGAACTTTTGAGCCTCTAGAAACATATTGGCAACATTCAAGTAGCATTAAAGGAAGTTGAGAAGCCATCCTTAAATTTATGATTAAATTATGAAAAGTACTGAGTGCTATTATTAAATTCATCAGCAAATTGTAGTTGTGAATACTCTTCAGAAAAGTGAAGTTTATTACAACTTTTTATGGGTGATAGAAAAAAGAGTGCCTTTCCTCTATAAGATTCCTGCTGGTGGTGTAAAAAGCTGGAAATACTGGACAGAGTTATGGGTAGACTCCCCCAAACATTTTAACCTCCACTTTAATAAGCAAAATGATTGAATGTGCATGCATTGCCCTTTTGTTAGATGCTTTGAAATCAGAAAGATGTAACAGTTAAGGTCCTGTCTTGACTCAGCAGATATTTCTGGAGGGCTTATTACAAGTCTGCAAGCACTAAGAATATGGTAGGGAAGAAAATGAAGTCAGGGGCCTCAAGAATCATAGAGTTAATTGGTGGTGTTAGTCAACTGACATATGTGTATATTGGAGAGAATGTGTGAGAAAGAGGAATGAAGTGCTGCCATGGAGAATAAGGGCAGCTCATTGCAGAAAAAGAAAACAGTGTGTGAACAGTCCAGAGGCTGGAAAGAATTTACAGGTTTGAGTAAATGATAAAAGACAACTTCATTTAAGCATAAAAAGAAAGTGTGAGACATGCATTTAGAAAGATATACAAAGAAAAGTCTGGCTAAAGCAAAGAAGGAATAGAAAATGAAGCTGAATAGAAAATTAAATCCATTAAGCAATTCTCTATAAATTGCAATTTTCTAAACAATTGGATTCTGGAAATTCAGTCAATAAATAGAAATTGAGTTTTTACAATTCACTATGTCTATTACAGGTTCGTGCTTTCTGGCCACTGTCAACTGGAGACATTTTAAAAGGACGATGAGATTCAAATAACAAGAGCTATGTTTAAGTCAAAAAAAATTTATCTTTAGTAAATTTAATGTTATGGCAATTTTCTGGAAACAGATTTAAAAAAATATGATCAAACACCATCATAAAGTTTTAGAAGGCCATTACTCAGAGTAAAGTATACTTTAACTTGGAAGGCATGTAGAATTAGAATGCTTGAAAAAGATCACCTGCCTCCCCTACCACTCCCCCAAAAAATCAAATATAGCTTTGGAGCTAGGAAATGAATGTTGTGTGAACTGACTATATTTTAAATTCTTGTAAATTCATATCTACAGAATAGTGACGCTAGAAAATATCCACTAATTAGCAAAAGGATTGTAGATATACTGAGAAGAGGTGTTTTAAAGAGTGCACAGAAGAAAAGGTTACATAAATGGTAGATAGGACTGCATATCTGGGAGACTCATTTAATAGCTAACATTCGTCCAAGATAGTTTTAATTGTGTTCTGTAAATAGATACATTACCAGAAACACAGTGGATATCCTGTTGAGATTTTTTAAACATTATTGTTGTGCACATTGTTAGGGATAATTAATGCACTTGAACTTGTATCCTGGCCAACATGATCCATTGGAATAACACATTCCTTTTGAGGGTACTCCTTTGGAGATTACAGTTGTTTGCCAAAGTTGCCTTAATTGTTAATAGGCGTAAGGTATCAAAGAGAGAAAAAACAATAACTCTCCTTCTAGTAATAATCAAAATATTTTCCAGTGAGACCTTTGAAGACCTTTCCATATTCACAAAATTACCACTTTACTCACAACATTCTGTGAGCTAAAAATAGTCTTCTACCAAATTGCCTTTGATTTAAGGCTTAATAATGTGAAAACCATTCAGTGACATGGGGGTTGTATTATAGTCTTGACATAGCTTGGCGTATGTATTTGCATTTTAATGAAAGAAGATAAGGAGTAAATCCATGTATTTCTTTTTAAGAAGTTTACAGTAGTTAAGAATATATGTGTAATACTGAGGAATATAGCTGTTGTTTTGGATTTAAAGAATGCCATAAATTTTACTAAAGAATATTATAAATGAAATTTTCAAAAGAACTTTTCCCAGAATAACTGTAATATGTGCCTTTGCCTGTGTCTTACATACAAACATAAATCAGAAATACAATAATTTCTGTAGCTGTGATTTCTTAAAAGCACTAATATCAAAAATTACATTTTAAAGCCACATTAAGTATTCAGTTCATTATGAGTAGTTTATATGTCATTATTTCATGTTCTCCCAGGGAGAACATGATTTATAGCTTTAGAACAAGAATATTGAGAATAGAATGAATTCTTAAATTTACTGAGAAATAATCTATTAATTTGTCAAGACAAATATGTATTGTGGACTCGATTGATTAGTGTCCACAGCAGTAAATTAGCATCTTTTTTAAAACAACATTTTTCTGAATGTTAAATTCCTGTTTATTAGAGAATTATTTTCTTATTATATAAATGGATTTTAAAAATACAAACCAGATCCAAAAACTGATGTGAACATTTAGCTTACTAGATTACAATGCGAGTTATGGAATCAGGCAACCTGGAATCAAAATGTGGCACCCTGACTCCCTTGTTCAGCAAGGACATTAGACAAGTTTTCTAAACTTTCAGTATCTTAGTGTTCTGATCTATGAAAGGGGGCCACTAACCATGCCAACCTCTTAGAGCTAACAAGGAATTAAATGAAAACATTCAACTGAAGTTCTTAGAACTACATGCTTAGCATCTATTACATGCTCATTAAATATTGAGTCATCGTATCCTGTGAATGTTTTTCAAAATTTTTTTTCTTATTTTTAATGTGACATGTGGATGTGCCACAACCTAGTCTTTAGAATCTGAAATTGTAAACACCACCAAGTTTTAAAGTACAGCCCTCAAGCTTTTAAGCAATCTTCCCCTCTTGAATTTATTTATATATAATTATGAAAATGAAGCAACTCTTTTTTTTTTTTTTAATTTGCCACTACTTTGCATTTTATGACATAAGCCTGCTTTGGACTTCAAAAATTTTTGATAACAGGGCCTCCCTGGTGGCGTGGGCAGTTGAGCACAGCACTCTGAAGCTGTCCGCAGCCTCTGCAGTGCCTGTTCAATCCCTGCCGGCCACGGAGCAACCCACATGATGCAGCAGACCTCTTCTGACACCCCCGCCACTCCCCTCAGCAGTGTATTTTGGTCCTTCTGCCTGTTCTGTTCCCCGCTGTCTCTAGTGAATCCTCTCACCCTCCTGCTCATCTGGCCTATACCCCGGTTCTTGTATAAATAAAATAAATCTTTTTTAAAAATTTTATAACAATTACAGCAAATAATCATTGGCAATTTGTTTTGTACTGGACACTCAACATGGTGGACCAAGTCCTGGGCTCTCAGTCAGAAGACCTAAAGTCTGGTCCTATCTACTGGGCTTGTCCAACAAACATTGATTAGGTGTGTCTGTTATATGCCAGGCATCATGCTAGGGGCAGAAAGAAATTAAATAAGAGGTAGTCACTTCCCTTAAAAATCTCATAATGTAGTAGAGAAAATCAGATCATATAAAAAAATAAAGAAAAAACTGTGATAGATGCAGTAATGAGAGTATGTAAAGGTGGATTGTGGGCAAAGAAAAGAATATGCATTCTTTCAATGATGTGGTCAGGAAGGGGTCACAGGAGAGTATTTGAACATTGACCACCCTCCCCTCACCCCCTGGTCAAACAGGATAAAAAAATCTCTTCCACTGAATTCACCAAATCATGAGATCCCAGTAAAAGAAATATGAATGAGCTTTGTGAATTTCAGCTTTTTTTAAAAATGCTAAGTAATTAGGAATTATCCATAGATTTTTTTTTCTAAATAACTCTCCTATACCATTATACTCTACTGATGTTCATTTTAACTCTTTTCTACAAAATATTTTTTCTCCCATTTTCACACACTAACCCCAAAAGCTTTGGAGTATCTGCATCAATCAAATCAGACAAGTGAAAAATGAGCAAAAAAAGTTAACCGTATTAAAGTGTTGTCCTTTTTTTTTTTAATGTGCTAACATCCATCTGGTAATGAAAATAATATTGTGTTTAGTCTGATTACCTCATTAATTTGTCCCCTTTAATAGGAAATCCTGATTCACAGCTGGGGGATAAAGAGTATTTAATTTTTTTAGTAAATCTATTGTTCCATGAAATTATGCATTTGGAATCTTATGTAAATGAGTTAGTTTGAATCTGGCATTCTGTGGGAAATATACAACACAAGAATTCTCACTATCAACTTCCACTTTTCTTATAAGTTATATTCATTCATTTAATAAACATTTATTGTGCACATATTCTGTTATACATTGGAGTTAAGCCAGTTAACAAGCAATGCACATGTCCCAGCTTGCATATATCTACAGGCTAGAGAGGATTAGAAAATGCATATAACTGATATCATAATGCAGTTAAATAAGTGTTGAAATATGAGGCTAGCAAAATGTGATGGGAGCACAGATGGGAAATAAAACACATCCCAGGAGGAAAGAAGGGCTTCCAGTGGAAGAGGCTTTAAGACAAAAAGTTTTCTTGATCCAGTCATCTATTTTTGGGCATTTGGGTTGTTTCCAAAGCTTAGCTATTGTAAACAGTGATGCTATAAACATAGGGGTGCAGGTGTTCTTTGGAATTGATGTTTCTGTGTCCTTTGGGTAAATACCTAGGAGTGGAATTGCTGGATCATATGGAAGCTCTATGTTTAGTAGGTCCAGAAATCTCCACACAGCTCTCCACAGTGGTTGGACCAGTTTGCACTCCCACCAACAGTGCAGAAGAGTTCCTTTTTCTCCACACCCTCGCCAACATTTGTTGTTGCTAGATGACTGGATCAAGAAGATGTGGTACATATATACCATGGAATATTACTCAGCATTCAAAAAAGATAAACACATGCAATTTGCAGCAACATGGATGGCGCTGGAAGGGATCATGCTCAGCGAAATAAGCCAAAAAGAAAAAGAAAAATACCGGATGGTCTCACTCATAGCAGGAATCTAGAAAACTTAAATAAGGGACCAGGAAAATGAATAACTATAAGAAAGTGAAAATCAAAATCAACAAAAACTATGAACCAGAGACACTTTTTGGGGGGCGGGGGCGGGAGGGGAGGGATTGGGGTCAGAATGGGGGGGCTGCAATTGTATGGGGAATATAAAAATAAAATTTATTATTTAAAAAAAAAAGACAAAAAGTTTTCTTATCCATTAGCAAGCAGTGTACATTTCAGGGAAAAATGCAATCAAAATAGCAAGAAGATGTCCTTAAATAAGATCTGTGTGTGTGTGCTGGTTGAGGTTGGGGGCAGTGAGTAGAGTGAACTCTGAATAGTAATTGAATAGTAGGGAGAATGGGAGAAGAAACGTGGGGCTGATAAAATCAATAGTCAGTTGTTTGAGTTGGCCAACAAAACCATTGAGTATTCTCTAACATTGATTTTTAAATTTTCTCTCCCCTCTGTCTCTCAAGTGGAAAGTAAGATAGAGAGGATCATTTCAAGCTGGCTACAAAACTGCTTAAAAAGACTTGTGTGACTAAGCCCAGAGATAGGTGGCACTGAAATATATGTATCTTCTGGCCAGAGGGATATCTTTTACTTTATGCTGAAATGGAATTTTGGAAACCTATTTACAAGTTGCACTTGCCCCATTTTATGAGTGACAATACACCAATAAAATAATCTGTAGGAATTTCCCATTGTTCTTGGATTTGGCCATTTGTGTTCACATTTTCCAAGTTTGTATTCAGGTAGTTTGACCAAATGGTGTGGTCTATCTTGTGTTTTGGTTGTATAATAAAATATGCATTGTCTGGTTGTCTTAAATAGATTTCTCCCTACTCCATAAATGGATTTAGTAAAGGAAACATTAATTCATTCATTCTTTCCACCAACATGAGACTATTGCTCTTTGCCAAGTGGTAAACTAAGTTCTCTTGCACGTTAGCAAGCAGTGTATATTTTCAGACAATTTCTATAAAACTGTACTTCAGAACCAATGACTGTGGTAAAAGGATGAGTATTTTCTTCTGTTTAAGGACTTGAAAATAAAAATAATCATATAAACACATACCTGAAATAGAAAAATTGCATAAAGAGTGTACTTCCTGTAAACAAAGACTGCTTCCTGTTTCCATAGTAGCCCGACTAAAACAGAAAAATAAGTCAAAGTGACTTTATATCAATGACTTGCTTCCCAAACAATAGGACCAAAAGGAATTAGTGAGAAATTATGACGACTGCTCTCTGATTTCGAAAAACTGTTTTACAGCTTATCAGATTATTTAAACCAAAGGAACATTTTTGAGAAAAAAGACACATAGTGGAAATTTATGTTTTTATTTTGAAAATATCTGTCTCCATATTCTTTACCCTTGTTTTGAATATTCAAACATATGACTTTCAAACAGCATATAAAGAGTGCACGTGTAAGCATATGAGCAATGTGAATGTCCTTCATTCCACTGATCTGCACACTTTAAAAAAGTGTTAAAATGGGAAATTTAATGTTATGTATAGTTTCTCACAATAAAAAGACGAAAGCCAAACTGAAGCACCCTAAAAAAAATGCTACATAAACCTGTTTTCACTAGGTCTAACTTACTTATTATAGTACTTAAGAGATTGCCTTCACATCCTTCTAGAAAGTGAAAACTTTCACTCTTAAATTATAATGAAAATGAGAGAAAATAAGGGTTTTGATAACTCAAAGCCAGTGTCCAAATGAACTCTGCGGGTAGCCTCATACGTGTTTTCTGACCTCTTAGAAGAAAGAAAAGAGAATGGAGGAGGAAGTGAGGTTAGAAAGACAGAAGAAAACAAGAAGGGAGAAAGATGGGGGGAGAAAAAGACGATTTGCTGACCACATATTTTACTTCCCAGAATGATTCAATACCTCAAGAAGATTTCACTCCAGAAGTGTACAGAGTTTTCCTGAACAACCTTTGCCCTCGACCTGAAATCGATAACATCTTTTCCGAATTGTAAGAGAACACATTTTAACCCACTTTTCTTTGGCTTGCAGTGGTATCCAGGGTGGCCAGGGGAGGATTTTTGAGCCGTGATAAAGGGAGATGGAAAAATCTCTTTACACCCACCATGTCCAGTACAGACTTTTCTGTGCAATCTGTTGAAGATCATCATGCATCCTTCTTCTTTTAGAGATGCAACCACTACTTTTAATGAGTGAAATTTGCTGTTGCTTATTGCTGCGGCTTCTGTGTGTGGTTGTTTTAAGGACCTCAGGTTGTTCTGTGAGGTTTGAAGATTATGGATAGTGTGGGGAGACATTTTTTCTGAGCAGAGATAAACTCATGTTACAGAAAGAACTTTGAACTGGAACCAGCCATTTTATCTCTCTGAATTACATTAATAAAATGAAAAGTTTGGATTACTAAGGAACCTACCACCTCAAAAAATGGTTTGTTTTTTATGCAAAATTATAGAGGCATTGCCTTTTTCAAAAACTAATTTGAAAAAGAAAAGAAACAAAACACCAAGGCAAATGTGGGGGAAATAATAATTTACCTTTCTTGAGATATTGAAACCTACGTGCCCAAAAGTCAATCCAAAATTGATAAACATGTAAACATAGGCACAGTGCAGCTGAGAATGACATTGGATATTCTCACTTTGTGATGTCTGTTGCCATCAATATTTATTGAACATTTGCAATATTTTTACCTTTGAACTTGTCTATGAGTTGTCAACAGATTTAAATGGGAAGTTTGAATTATATTTTTTTGCAAGCATGTCTGGCCAAGCAGGTTCACTGTGGATTCAGCAGATGGATAAGGAGAGGTTCAGAGCCCTTGATAGAGTTGACAGGCCATTAATGCTGAAGCAGGGGACCAGACACAGGTAGACCAACAGGCAGGGAAGCAGCAAATGAGCACCCTAACCTCAGAGTACCCCTGTTATCCCTTGCTTCTCAGCCCAGGTGCCTGTATCTACATATGGCTTCTCAGCCCCTGTCCATAATCAAAGTAACATGTGCCCTGTGCTCACACCTCTCAGCCCCGGGCGTCCGTGCATGTCCTGAGCTTGCACTTCCAAGCACTTTCACATGTGGGCAATGAAACTGGGAGGAAAGCAAGGCCGCAGGTGGTGCCTGTACAGGCTGGTGGCAGAAGGCAAAAGGAGCCTGAGACACTCCATTTTCCCTGCAACTATATTGCAGGTTTATAGACTTTTGATAAAGTATAAGTTTATGGAAATAAAAACATATCCAACCCATTTTTTTTTAGTAATGAGTAATAAATAAATGATAAAGGGGAATTTAATGACTAAACCAGAATTCCAGTGTCATAATTTGAAAAACAATCCATGCCTCTTTGTTCAATCAAATGGTGCGTCTTAGCAAATAAGAGGCAGTATTTCCTACTATGCATTTTATTATGCATTTGATATTGTTCAAGGGCATTGGGGTGTAGTGGCTGTGGTTATAAAAGATACTTGTAGCCTACAGAGATACAGCAATGGTGGCAAGGCGGCACGATATATTTAGGACAAGTTAGGAATTTTACTATTGCGGGCTCTTACCAGTTATGGCAGGAATTTTTTTTTCTTGTAGATAAATACAAGCATATGAATGAGACTTTGCAAGAAAATATCTAACTTCTTGGGTTTTAATTGTTTTTAGTGGTGCCAAAAGCAAACCATACCTTACTGTTGATCAGATGATGGATTTTATCAACCTTAAGCAGCGAGATCCACGGCTCAATGAAATACTTTACCCACCTTTAAAGCAAGAGCAAGTGCAGGTATTGATTGAGAAGTATGAGCCCAACGACAGCCTCGCCAAAAAAGGTCAGTTCGCTTGTCCCACATGGAAGCTGTTGTTTCTAATACATGTGTGGGTCACACCTGGTACTTAGAGACATCAAAGATTATTTAGGTAGCTTCCCTCATTAGTACACCTGCTTTCCTTATGCTATTACTGGTGGTTCAATCAGAAGTGTTTTGTGTGTGCGTGTGTTGTTTTTTTTTAACTTTGGTGGATGAATTTTGTTATTGTGTGAAAATATGCATGCAACATATATATATTTTTTTAAATATCCTAATCATTTATTTTTATTTTAACCAGTGACTGAGTGCATCTTTCTCAGTCAGGAAACTCACTATTTTAAAGATTCCCTTTTTCATTCTGTTTCTAAAAGTTCTGTGAAGTGATCCACAGAGTTTTTTAAAATCTCTAAAACTGAATCAAATATTGTCTATTAGACCCTTATCTTATTCCAGTTTACACTATTGATGAATGTTTCCACTTGAGGAAATATTATAATGCCTGCTCTTCTATGAAAAAAAAAAAATTAGTGTTGCAGGATAAAATGCTCTAAATTGATATTAGGGCAGCTCTAAGTTTCCTAGACATTATTTCTAGGAAATTTCTAAAGAAATGACCTATCAAAATGAGGCCATGAAGATTTAATTGATGAGAGTTTTCAATGACATGTGGCATTATTGTACTAGAAAAGAATCTTAAGCTGTTTCTGTATACCTAAAACCAAGTCTCATCTGGACTTAAACATCTTCATTGAAAAATTGTTATCACGAATATTGTTGGAAATTTCTTAGTTATTCCATAAAGAGGAAAATAAAGTACAATTGACCAATGACTAAGGAACAATAAATTGCATGTCAGTTTATAATTAGTAACAGAAACAAACTTATAGTCATTAATAAGAATAGTTATCATAAAGTAGGTTAGACTATCTTTTAACCCATTGTATTTATTCTGGAACTGGTCATCTAGATGGAAAATGAAAATATTTAAGTAAAATCTTTAATTTTATCCTACATGTAATTAGTTGTGAATTTATAGGTGAATTTTTGAGTATTTAGTTTATTGGTCACTACTTTGCCTTTGCTCTTGTCATTATTCTCATGTTGCCAGACCCAGCCCTGAACCTACTTAGATATGCTGTCCTGTCTTCCTTATTGCAACAAGAGATGGGATTTCTCCTTATCTTTAAGCAGGAAGGAATTCCTTGGAGACTTTGCCTGGACAGCTTACCACTTCCCTTCTGAAATGTGAACTTGGCCAAAAATAACTACAAGTGTTAAAACAAATCCAACAGTACTTCTAAAAACAGCCCATGATACTAGGAAAACAAAAGACTTTTTTGTAAAACCAGTGAGGCACGTCAAAACCTCAACTTGGCCCCTTATCTCCTCCCTTCACGCCACACTGCTGACGGCCTGTGTTTCAATCAGCAAATTATGTCTCCACCCATCTTATTCTTATTAAGGAGAACATACAAAGGAAATACATGTGGTAGCTTATTGTGAAGGTCTATAATCTAGAAAAACCAATTTTTGATTTAGTGGAAATTAAGATGAAGTTTCTTAGCATTTATAAGTATATTTAGTATCATGTTATGATTCTTTGGGGTATAAATTCCATCATCACATTAGTCACTCATGAAATTCAGTTATATTTAAAAGAGCAACTTCATTTTTCTGTCGCTTGGTATGATATTGATCAGGAAGCCTTCATGTTAGCATTGATGTGCTTTTTCAATCACACTTTTCATTTATTACCCCAAACTCCATTATTAAAATAAACTTGCTTTATTTCCTATCACATCATTTTGTGTGCTGCTTTGACTCCATTTCTGTGAACAAAGGTGACTAGAAAAGATTGTTTTATTTTGTTAACTATTACTTTACAGTAAAAAGTAAAATTTTAAAATCTTTATTTGTTGCACTAGGAAATAGCAAGATCCATGGCTGACTAGTTTGGTTAGACTTCAATTCTTTAGTAACTAAGAATGTGAAAAACTTCTTTCCAAAGATAAAAATTGTTTTATTAATTTTATTTTGCAGTTACTGGAAGGAAACTACTACTAAAATCCAATAAAGTATAGTTGTATAGTCAAATAAAAAGTATTATTTGACTTCAATATGATAACTAATGTGCTGGGGAATTAGTTTCCATTTATTATGGGACTTTCCATTTATTATTTAACTCTGAGGCCAAATGACTTACCTAAGATCTTATAACTAGTTGCTCTTTAAGAAAGCAGAATTTTTAACTTTTAGTTAACTACTTCATTAAAATATTTTGATTAATAAACAAATAAACAGGGATATATAATGTTACATCTTTTTTTTTCCTGCTGCTGCTTTTATTTTGACTAACTCTCCAGATGTGTCCAAATATTAGTAAAATTGGCCCACAAAATATCTGAGAAGCCCACTTTGATACTGCTTACATTTGATAAAATACTAGGAATAAGATACACATCTAGCGTATATATATATATAAAACAACTGCATAATAACAAATATACATATATTCTTTAATATCAAGAAACTTATTTTAAAGTAAGGGTTAAGGAAATATATAATACATAAAGTTGACATATATTTATATATATTTTTTGCATAAAATGTAACCTATAACTATTTGAGTATTATTTTTACCTTTTTATTTTGAACTAATATCAGAATAGAAATTCCATAAAAATAGTGCAGATAATACCTTCAGACAGACTCCAGAAACATGAACATTTTTTTAAAAATTAGTTTTATTCATGTATCATTGGTTTATTAAAATTTTTAATATGGCCAAAAGCCAAATGCTAAAGTTCACCTTATTTGACTAGAAATATAGCCCATAGAACTATGAAAAGAAAATCCAGAAAAGGTGATGGATTTTGGTGCTTGGTGCACCTACTATCATTAACATTTTGGCCACATTTCCATACTAGGATTTCTGGTTCTAGAGATATATGCATGGTAACAAATAGAGGGTTTCTGTGTAGATTAAGGCTGAATATTTACATGTTTGCTTTCCACAAAGAAAGAGTTTGAATCATGTTGTAGAAGATGTTATGCTCCAGGAAGTTTGCTTTAATTTTACAATTTAAAAACACACATTGACAAATGCTGTCTACTCAGATCAACAAATGTTTCTTTGCTGCCATTTTGTTTTCACTATAGACCTAAATATGCTTAGTACAGGAATACACAATGACCCTTCTTCTTTCAAACAAAAGGATCATGAACATCAGAGTTTGAAGATTAATGTCTCCTAAGCAGAGTTATTTTTTTTTTTTTATCACTGAAAGTCTAAAGAAAGGCAGAAGTAAAATTCACATGAGAAATAAGAGCGCCTTGGGTAACAGACTGCAGACCTCTAGATTCAACTGAAAGGTGTGTAAAAGAAGGCCAAATTTTGCTTAAGTAAACTGTCAAACCAAAAGAAAACTGTTGCATTTGTTCATAGTTTTATTCTCTTTCTAGAGCAGGTTTCATGAGTATTTGTTAAGCAACTAAGTTAACATATCAGAATGTGCTATTTACAGATGTTTTAAGCTTCATTCCTATTTAATCACTTCTTCCCCTTAAAGTTTTGTAAGATGTGCTGTAGAAAATCTTTCCTGCTTTGTTGCAATTAAATCATAAAAATGACACTATATAAATCTTTCAGTATTTGATCAGTATTCACTGAATTTATAGTCTAATAGTTGAAATGAATTCAAAATTAATAATGGTAAAGCAACTTGGTCTTAAGCACAGCAAATAGAAGTTTGAGTATAGCAAGCATTTCCACTTCAAACAAACCCAAGTTAATAGTGATTACATTAGTAGAAATAACTGAATTGCATTTTCAATATTGTTTTATTTCAAAATACCCATGCAATTGGGCTATATTTTATCACTATTGTCAATAGCAAGAAGCACTTAGATTATGCTAGATTGCTTACTGGACTTGGTAATCTTATAATGTATAGTATTAGGTGGATCTTCAGCTAAAAGAAAGGAAAGAAACAACTCAAACTGAAGTACAAAGAGGAATTTATTAATGCATATAGGGGAAAGGTCAAGGTGTTAATGACTTAAGACATGAGGGCATCAAATGATGTCATCCAGAATTGCCTTTCTTCATGTACCATCATTTTCTCTGGACTGGCTGTAAATACTCGGAACACAAGAAAACCAGCAGCAGTACCAGGCATACCAATCTCAATAGAATATAAAAATTGTTTTACTCATAACTCCATCAAAAGTCCCCCAAAACTGAGCCTAGTTTAGGTCACCTAGGGTCACTCCTGAACTTAGATCACTGTGACCTCAAACATGGAATATAATTATTGGACAGATTTAGCTCACATGACTTTCCCTACACCCAATGAGCAATCAACTACCTGAACCTTGTGCATTGTCAATGGGGAAGAGATGGTTTCTCAAATTCAACAAGATTGTGCTTCCTACACTATTTACAATAGCTAAGCTTTGGAAACAACCCAAATGCCCAAAAATAGATGACTGGATCAAGAAGATGTGGTACATATACACAATGGAATATTACTCAGCAATCAAAAAAGATAAACACATGCAGTTTGCAGCAACATGGATGGCGTTGGAAGGGATCATGCTCAGCGAAATAAGCCAAAAAGAAAAAGAAAAATACTGGATGGTCTCACTCAGCAGGAATCTAGAAAACTTAAATAAGAGACCAGGAAAAAGAATAACTATAAGAAAGTAAAAATCAAAATCAACAAACAACTATGAACCAGAGATACTCTATGGGGGGTGGGGGGCGGGGAAAGGAGGGATTGGGGTCAGAATAAGGGGGTTGCAATTGTATGAGGAATATAAAAATAAAATTAAAATTAAAAAAAAAAAAGAATGTGCTCCCTAGATGAGGGTGAAATAGTCATTATGCAAATGAAAACTGTAAGCAGATCCCATTAAAACCAGGTCAGAAATTAACAACTCATTGGGACCTCCCTGGTGGTGCAAGGAGTTAAGTCTCAGCACTATGAAGGTATCCGCAGCCACTGCAGCACGAGTTTGAT